GCTGATTGATTAATCAATGCCTGATGTCATAGGGTCAAAAGCCGCTTGTATGACCCCTGATGTGACCTTCCAATACAACCGGTCAGATCTTCATGTAGTGTTGGACATGGAAAGTATAAAAAAAACGAAACGAAATAGAGATTTATATTTTAATCAGATTGGGTGCCCTATGATCATATCTTACCATACATGTATGTAAATCTTATCAATTCCTTTACAAATGTCACAATAAGTTGAAGTATGCCCTTGACTAAAGATACAAGGTTTAAGATCACAAACTGCTATTCTTCTTAAAGATACAATATGTAAGAGCTAAATCTGTCTATCAAAGTTATTTCTTTTGGCTTCATATGTTATACAATGTATAAATTATTTTTTTTACATTTGCTAACATGACAAGCCTATAATCAACACTCTAGAAATGAAATGAAATGAAATGGAGTTTAACGATGAATTCCTAGAGAAACACGGCGAATTCCTAGAGAAACACGGTGAATTCCTAGCGAATCGTAGAGAAAAATCGCCGCGGAATCAAGCGAAATATCACCGTGAAATCTAAGAGAATTCCGAGAGTTTTTTTCACCGATTTCGGTCCAAATAATTTGGGATGAACTGTATTATAGCAAGATCATCCAGCTCTTTATCCAAATTCTATATAATGCATCTGTTGTCGCAATAATAATGTAGTTAAAAATTAGATAACGTAAATAGAATATGTTGAAAATTTCAGTCAAATTGCTCCACTCTGAACCAAGACACATGTATTAGTGATTGAATTTTAAGCCCAGCCTCAATCATCATTACTAAAGTTGGTACGATAAAAAAACATAGTTTCGATTATCCAATTTTGGATTTAATCATCAATGAGCGTTGAGCAGCAGATCAGATTCAAATCCAGTGAAAATCTGACACACAAGATGGCATCGAGAGTTGATTATGGTTTGGATAAGTTAATTAATGTTTAATTAATAGTTTATATAATATTTCAGGCCTAAAGAAAGACCTGCAATAGGAAGATTTATCTCTTGCATAATGTATGTTTAATTTACATGTACCATCCAATAGTGAATCATCCGCCTTATAATAAAACGATCGCATGTATATTTATAATATTGCACAATACAATACCATCTTACTTACACAGTAAACTGCACCCCACAATCAGTAATCACTAACGACCATATGTCGATTTTAGGAGATCTTTATTAATAGAATGTTGTTCATCAGAATCTTTTACTACTTACTTTACGCATTCAATATACATGTATAGTAAGTACACAAAGAATTTCTGAATTTAGTTTATTGACTATGTATGAAGTATATATATATTAAACCCAGCTGTCGGCTTTCTCTATAATTTTAATTGAGTCTGTGCACTATCGTGTTTTGTTTGATGTGCTAATTTATTCATAAATTAATCAAGTTCACCACAAATAGATGTTTTTATACAGAAGTGAGCTTAAAGAAGAGTCTTAGCAATAAACTAAATTGTTATGGGGTTTTCCCTTTCCTAGTGTAGGTTAGATGTCAATAATAGTACATGTATCATTACAAAGTCCAAGGTTTCTAACAGGTCAAGCTTCCTAATTAATGACTAAATTAATAACAAAGTAGTCACAAGCCAGTGAACATTGAAATTAGAAAAATTTTGAAGGAAAGAATCTCGGGCACATACGTCGTATATATCTTTTCCCTATTTGACAAGTGGTCAGAATTCCACATTTTGGGATCCCGGTGCTGGCAAAAGAGAACCGTCAGGATTTTTGAAGCTTGGTTCTCACTTGTCAGGTACTGTGCCTGCCGGGCTCACGAGGAAAGTATTCCTAACCGTCTGTGATAAAAAACTGGGGTACACATTGGCGTTCACATAAAAAAACCTTTTGCAGTTAGAATTTACCAAAGAGTAGGCAGAAACGCTGCTGTCCAGGCGAAATTCCACAACCTTGCGTTGCACAAGTAACCACAGAAATGAAAAATAATTATCATTTTCTATAAATAAAGTTTTCTCATTTAGTACTGAAGCCATTTTAGCACAAATGTTAGAATTCTCTAGAAATTGAAAACAATCGGCTGAAACCGGAACGAGGAAATCAATACTTTTAAGTGTGGTTACAGACATTTTTATTAGCACTCAATCAAGGAAAGGAAAGCAACAAGCAACATCTAATTCACAATAACTTTATAATTCGATTAGCATAATCACCAAAACTCCAAATATTCAATTCTTTAGAGTACAGTGTTTTTGATGAGTATCCATTAAAACTCTTTAGAAACCAATAAAAAATTTGTTTCACGAACAATCCAATCTTGAAAAATAACCATACTGTTGTGTCAATAATTAGATTTATCTCAGTTTCTGTTAATATCATATGACATTTGTTTAAATTTATTTTTTTTGTAAGAGTGAAATAATGTCTTTTTTAGTCTTATTATTAAATAAATCGCCATGTTACACAATATCAATATTTACTAATTAAGACATTTATAAATAATACATGATTTATGCTATCTTTTTCTCGTCCAGACACGATCCAAATCTAATGCCATAATTCTCTGTTTACTTTTAAGCATCTATGATATATTTTTAGATACATGTATCCTAATCAAGCTAGCCAACATATATCAAGCAAACTGAATCATTTTTCGCTCTTTAAATACCACTTGTTTATCAAATCAATGAGGTTCTGGAGCCATATGGTGCTTCAATTTCTGATAAATATTTACAACAATACCAACCAAATGGTCAGCTTTGTATAAATGCTCTGGCATGTTTAAATATAAGCATATGGGAGAAATCTTAAAATATTATATAGGGTCTAATATTGCAGTCAAAAAACCTTATTGTGATATACATGTATGTAAGGATTTATACTTCATCATCTGCAAATGATACAATTATAGCTACCATGCAAGTTTTGATAAAATTCAGTGGTAATTTTTTCTATAATAGGGTAGTAATTCCAAAAAGTTTTGATAAAATTCAGTGGTAATATGTTTTCTATAAGGTAGTAATTTCAAAAATCTATAGGTTTTTGATGAGGTTTAGAAATTTTGTTGATTTCTGAGGACTTCACATTGTATTGTATGGAAATTAAATTGATAACGTAAATAGAATATGCTGAAAATTTCAGCATTGCTCCACTCTGAACCGAGATATTAGCTTTTGAATTTTAGGCTAGCCTCGATCATCATTACTATAGTCGGTACAATAAAAAATAAAGCCTTGATTATCCATTTTTATTTTTAATTATTTTTCAAAATATGTATTCCAATATATCGCAGGCTAACGATGGCATCAAGAGTTGATTATGGTCTAATTAATAATTTAGATCACATTCCAGGCCTAAAGCAACACCTGCAATTTAGGGAGATTTAGATCTTGCATAATGTTTGTTTAAATATTTTGCTACATTGCCAAGCCTGGAAATAACACACCTGCTGGCCTGGAAATAACGCACCTGTCAGAGACAATGTCAGTCAAAAATTCAGGCTTCGTCGGGGACAAAACCTCTGGTGCCAGTCATTATGTCCGCCACTGATTTGTCTTTTTTATTGATATGTTTAGTACTTGTCTGGCAACGAGTTCAAAAAGTAGGGAGAGGGGTTTTACAAAGGCTAAGCCTGTTCCCCCAATCCCATTCAGACAACCTGAATAAAAAAATTGTTTATAAAAAAAAAGAGTTCAAAATGTAAGGTTCTACGTGCAGTTCATTAGTCCAAGACATTTTGTCAGGTACATGTACGAAAGACAATGTCAAACACAAATACAGGCTTTGTCTGGCAGTATTTTTCTGGTGTCTGTAATTTTGTCTTACACGATGTGTATTTTTTCACTGTTTTTATTGATATTATTATAAATACGTGTACCTGCATGTCGATTGTCAAGCACCAATTAGTTCAAAATGTCTGACACAATTTCACAGTGCTTGACATTTTGTCAGTACAACTAATACTGTATTTCTAAGCCTGTACATTTCAACTGAACTATATATCGTGATATAATTTTTCTTAGAATAAATATCACAACAATTAATGAATGCTAATTCTTTTCAAAGTATTTTATTTCTTCCGTTTCATTATTTCCTTGTCAAAATCCATTTTTAGAGAACAATGTTTCTGCAGAGTACAGAGATCAATTACTATTTAACTTGTTTGTTAATTAATTAATAGATCTTTAAAAACAATCATGCCAATTCACTTTTTGTCTTTTATAAAGCCCATTACTTACTACTTACATTAGTATAAAGTACACATTATTTTGATAAAATATTTCCTATATACTCAACTGTAAATGACACATACATGTAAGCTTAAAGGAGCTAAATCGCTAATAATTGGGACCTAGAAATTGACACAAATGGGTCGCCACGCATATAATAATGTAATGTGAATGTATATAAACTGATTTACATTCAACCTTTTCTGTTTTTACTGTAATCAGTTATGTTCGGCGAAATACGCCAAAAGTCTCAATTGAATGGCATGATTTAGCGTCTGGTTATTCCAGTCCACACCGATGATATTTATTGTGCATGCTCTCCAGATAAGAATATAGCGTCACCATTTGACATGACTTGTGGAATAGGTCTAGCCGCGTTCTTTGAGTCCCTTGTTCCAAATGGCACTGAAACGCATTATGGTACACGATTCGTGTACCAATGGTAAAATGTTTATTTTGTCTTGAATATTGGATATCAGAAGCCCATATTTTCCCTGTAAGATCACAAGACCAATGTTGATTTGAATTGACAAATAATTCGTGTTTTCAATGTCGAAGATTTTTGATGATATTGAGTTAGAGACTAAGGTACTTTAAACAGATCTCTAATAAATTAAGATCTGACTAAACTTCATGTACAGTACTGAGTACACAATAATGGAATCAGCAATTGTCAATCTATATAATGACATTCATTAATTATAGGCCTACAAATACAATAAAATTAAAGTATACCGGTACAGCAATCTAGAATTCACATATAAACAAAGTACATACTCACTCTAGTGTCAATCTTTTGGGCTTGATATAACTAAATCCGACTTCAAAATAAAATTTCAGTCGATTCTGCTTTGTTGATGTGGCTGTGTCATTCACGTTTTATTTATAGTAACAAGATGCAGTTCTCGGTCATTCAGTGAACTGAACTGTCTGACTGAAAACTGGAACATCCACCGGTCGGATAGAAATTGGCTCGGCCTGGGCTAGAATCATGCGTTATAAGTCTGGCATTTACAATACCAGATACCAAAGCTAGAAATCCCTTCGCATGGTTCCAAAATATGCTTTCAGGTTGAAAAGTTAAATGTAAAATTGGAGCAAATCAAAAATTTATTCGCTTTCATGAAGTAAGGGGATTTTATTTCCGGTTCAGACCCAGGACAGCAGTCTTAATTTGACTGGCTTCTGATTGGTTAAAATTACACCAAAACGTGAGACACACGCGGGAGAGACGGGACGAATTTGACTAAATTTGCTTTTTTTCTGTTAAAATGGTTATTTTAACGAACTTTCCGCCACCAACAGAAGGTATTAGACACCAACAAGACAACACAGCGGCTGTCATAGATCAGAAAGAATTAGGAAATGGCACAATTTTCATTGCAGAAAGGTAAAAGAAAATATGCCTTAGTGGATTTAAAAAGAAACCTACACATGAAATAACTATTGTACAACAAAACAATGTTATCAATGTACATCTATGACAGGGGAGTTTAATCAATTTAGTGTATTAGCCGTCAACATTATCAATCAGATATTTAGATTCACTCCAAAACTGAGCTGTAAACAATTAAAAAACCTTTACCAATAAACTTGTGTTACCTCCTGTAGCCTGAAATCAAAAAGGCAGTGGATATTTAACCGTATACGGCACTTTACTTTATTTACTATTTTGCCATACGCTTCCGTTTAACATGCGCAGTTCTCTGATACCTGGACTTAAAAGTTTTCGCTTTGGCGTCTGACATTAACCCAAAACCTAACCCTAACCGAACAGTTATATTCGTTCTTTGTCTAACATTGTTTCTTTTTCCGTTTCTTATGAAGGAACGAAATAGCCATACTTGAATTTCTATGGTAGAAACTGGAGAATTATTTTTAAAAGAAAATAAGATAATAAATGTAAATTGTAGAAAAGCATTTAGAATATTCTATTTTGGTCGAGGGCGCATTTCTGCGGATTTTGGTTTTAATTTAAGTACTAAGACTGTCAGTGGTTTATGTTTTTCCCGTAAAATCGTGCTTCTGCGCCGAAACTATGTACGGTAAAATAGCGGAAGTAGATACTTTGCCGTATACGGGTAAATATCCACTTTGAATCAAAAAATGGATATTTAGCAAAAATATTTCCAATAAACTCCACATATACTGAAGTTGCGGATTGCAACATCCCTAATTTTCTTCTTCATAAAATCGTCAGTATATTCGATGACACGGTTAAAGTTTCAAAACAATTGTTTTGAAAATAGGCGGTGATATGAATATATGAACTTTATTTATGCAATAATTTCTTGTTTTAGAATATGCAGAGCCATAAGTATTTTAGATATTGGAATGTATGACAACTCATCCCAAGACTCATCCCAATAGATGACCATGTATTTAAAAAAAACAACCTATTTTGGTCTTCTAAACTTGTTCCGAGTGGTTTTATATCTTGGCCCACGTATTACATCAAACAACTATGGTGGTATAAGTAATCTTCTAAACTTGGAACGAGTGGTCTTCTATTTTGGGATGAGTGGTCTTGAGATGAGTTGTCTGGATACCGGATATTGACATGGTAGGCCTACATACATCTTACCTATAATTCTTCACCAATATTTTTTTTTTTTTTTTCAGTCGTTTATCATGGAGAGGCGTAGATGGATCTGGTTTTTCATTAGAATATAAATCAATTAATCTCCACGCTGTATCTCGTGATTTATCAGCCTTCAGATCAGAATGTTTATATCTTATGCTGGATGGAAAAATATTAGGTACTTTAACGTAAACTTTTTAAAATGATGATGTGATTAATAGTAAATGCAGGGTGACTGCACCAAACACAATTACACAAGACAAACCTAAGGACAGATACAGACTTCACTCTAAATAAAGAAACAAACTAACAATAACGGAAACAATTCAAGAAAATGGAGAATATTTCCCAAACATTGAATCATATTAGTTTGAGTCATGATCAGCTATGTGCTACAAGAAATCTCAATGTAGGCTCAGTGAAGGAAAAAATCTTAAAATAACTTAAATAAACAAAGAATGACAACATTTTTATTAGGTTCTGATTTCCGTTTGAGAAGTGGAGAACTCATGCATGTTTGTGGTTACAGGCCTACTGTCCCGCACCGCTGACAAGGGGAAACCAGGTCGATAAATCCTGATGAGCTTTCTCGGTCAACACGTGACCTCCAGGTTAGCAAGCCAATGGCTCACCTCTCCCCCCCCCCACCACCCTCCACCCTCACAAAAAATAAATAGGAGGGTAAGCCTTTATTAGATGTTATAAATCTTGAAGTCAGTAAGTAGTAAAGGTACACTATATACACTGTTACGCTCACCTACTATCATTCAAAGAAAAACAATCCTTTACCCTCTTAAAACTTTCTTACGACAAGGTCTAGTGATTGAAATTAATAATTTTATTTTGTTTTATTAAATAGAAGATGAAGAAATGCCAGCAAATGGAAATGGGAATGAATCAGATGAGTCTGAAGAGGAAAATCCAATAACAGAACTTCGTTTTGTACCCAGTGATAAAGGAGCCTGTAAGTGAAAAATATTTGTACTAGGACCAGAAAGTTAAGTCGTGTATACATAGATTCACTATTAAAGCTGGTGATTTCTGGTTAATGTGCTTACAGGACCAGTGTACAAAGGACTGTGATTGACTGGTTCAATTAGACCTATTAGTATTACTGTATCATTTTATTATCCGTCCACATGGAAATGTGGACCTATATTACTGTCACCCCTGTCCATTTGTCCGTCCATCGTCCACAATTTCTTGTGAATGCTCTAACAGCAAAAGTTATCAGCTGATTGTTTTAAAATTGATATATTTTGTTTACATTAGTGAGATGAAGAAGCCTATTTAATTTCAATAATTTGAGTTAATGACTTCTAGAGTTATGACCCTTGTTTCACTTTGTTGCTCCTTGTGAACACTAACATCAAAAGTTATCTGCCGTTCTGTAAGAAATTTATATGCATCATTTAGATTAGTAAAAGGAAGAATCCTATTGAATTTCAGCAATTTCCATAATTACATCTAGAGTTATGGCCCTTGTTTCACTTTATTGAACCTTGTGAACACTCTAACACCAAAAGTTGTCATCCGATGTTTGTGACATTTAAATGCATTATTTAAATTAGTGAAAGGAAAAAGCCTATGGAATTTCAGCAATTTCCTTTAATTACTTCTAGAGTTATGGTCCTTTATTTACTTTGTGAACCTTGTTTGAATGACAAAAGTTATCATCCGATCGGTATGAAATTTATATGTATTATTTAAATTAGTAAAATGAAAAAGCCTGTCAAATTTCAAAATTTTCTGTAAATTACTTGTTTTAGTTTGTAGACCCTTGTGAACCCTCAAACGACAAAAATTACAACCTGATCTGTATGAAATTGTCTTGTAAATGCCACCAATTACCTACAAAAGAATAAATATTCGACAACCCTTGTTGACCACCCTGGCGTATGTTCCGTTGCCTGGCAACCTATCTTATTGGTTTTGGATTCGTCATCAGTCTTCGCTTTGCTTGCATAACTATAACTATGTGTCTTATACTGTTCATATTTATTTACTGTCAATAGTCAGAGGTCACTTGGCCATCGAATCACTGAAAACGCACAAAACATTAGCCATGATAAGACCTTTAATTCCATTTTGTTTGCAGTAAGTGCCATGTATCAAGCTATGAAAGAATGTCAGTTATTACATCCAGATCCACAATCAACCGATTCAGAAGCAGAAGAAGAAGGTTAGTTGTTGTTACTTACTCATCTCTTTCTTTCCAGGAGCCACGGTGATTCCGTGAGTAAGACATAGGCTCGCTAACTTGAAAGTTCCATGATCGATCCCTGTATTGCATGAGAAAGTCCGTCAGGATTTTTCTGACGTGGTTCTCCCTTGTCAGTGGTGTAGGACGGAGGGACTGGCAAGGAGCAACATATAGTCCTATTGTTCTGCTCCATCTGGGCTAATGGTGACGGGTATATGCCGTACAGTGTGCCATGAGGGAAATATTACCTGGACAACCGCGCTAGAGCCTTCTCTTGTATTGAATTCCAACTGGCACGGGACCTCAGTTTTTCGTCCCAACCCACAACTATACTTGTCCCTTACCAGGCCCTCTGTCCTGCACCACAGTCAAGGGGGAACCACGCCGAAAAATCCTGATGACCTTTCTCAGTCAATACATGACCCTCCAGGTTAGTGAGCCAATGTCCCGCTAAGCCACCGTGGCTTCCCTCCTTCCCCCTCCCCCCAAATGCAAGTGTTGAAAAGGATGAGCATACTCTGACTGAAGGGTAACTTGGGATGATTTCATGAATAGTGACTTTGATCTTCAAATATATTTAAGACCTGTATTGGATGGGTAGGTGCAATATGAAATAAAATTCAGATTTAATGTAGTTAGATCCAACATTTATTATCAAAAATATATTTATACTTAGTATTACAAACTAAATGGTTTAAACTACATAAAAGATCTGGTTGTAATGACAGATATTTTTATTTGTAGAATCTGAGTTTTATAATACTGCGGATGGTTTAGATCATTTAACAAGTCATGGTACAGCCACATTACAACATATTGATAGTATATTAGAGGCTGGTCAAGGTGATGCACAACAACAACCACGCAGTAATGGAAATACAGGTAAATTGAATAGAATTACCCTCAGTACAGTGTCCTATGAGGGAAATTTTGCCTGGACAGCGGTCCAATGGCCTACACTTACATGTATATCAAATTCCAACTACCAAGGGATCTTTACACGTGCACGCCAATGTGTAAATGAAAGGAAATGAAATGGGGTTTAACGTCCTACTGTTCTGCTTCTAACCTGGGATAATGAAGACAGGCATACGCTATACAGTGTGCTATGAGGGAAATTTTGCCCAGGCAGCGGCGCTACAGCCTACTCTTATATCAAATTCAAACTGCCAAGGGATCTTTTACGTGACGCCAATATGTACACGGGACCTCGGTTTTTCGTCCCATCCGAACCACTAGACAGCTGTCCTTGTCAGGCCCTCCATCCTGCATCACTGACAAGGGGAAACCACGCCGGAAAATCTGGATGAACTTTCACGGCCAATGCAGGGATCGAACACCCGACCTCCAGGCTAGTGAGCCAGCGTCTTACCCACTTAGCCACGTGATCCCCGCACGCCAATGTGTACACAGGACATTAATTTTTTCCTCACATCTGAACGACTATACGTTGTCCCTTGCCAGGCCCTCAGTCCTGCACCACTTTCAAGGAGGAACCCACCGGAAAATCCTGAGAACTTTCTCGGCCAACGCAGAGATTGAACACGGGACCTCACAGTTAGCGAGCCAACATCTCACTCACTGAGCAACTGTGCCTCCCCTTTAAAAATGTAATAGCCCCGAACTGCAATCATAATTCTAAATGTATAGCAGTATAAATGGTTTGAACTGCACTTTTAACACCACAGCTGATCCACCGAAGTATAGTGGTCTTAATCCGCTATATCCACCACTGTATGGTGGTCTTAATCTGCTATATCCACCGCTGTATAGTGGTCTTAATCCGCTATATCCACCACTGTATGGTGGTCTTAATCTGCTATATCCACCGTTGTACAGTGGTCTTAATCCGCTATATCCACCACTGTATGGTGGTCTTAATCTGCTATATCCACCGCTGTATAGTGGTCTTAATCCGCTATATCCACCGCTTTATGGGGGTCTTAATACGCTATCAAGTAGGTTCAGTTAAAATGTTTGTAGTGTATATGTCCCAGTTGTTTCAGTATATTAGCATGTATAATCCTATAACTCATGGCACTTGCAGCTTATCTCTCTTTTTTAAGTTGTTTATTAATTATACTGTTTTAATTATTTTACTAGAACCAATGGATCAAGGACAGTTTGATGATGCAGAAATGGAGGGTTGACGTTTCTTTTCCTGTCCGCAGTATTCATTCATCAAGTTCATCAACAAATACATTAAACCCATCCTTCATTTGTGGACCCATTACAAGACAGTTTGAATATTACAAATTTACATGGAGTTTAAATATTATCTGGAATCAAAATATATCATTTCAAGATATTTCAAATTTCATGAATAACTTAAACAGACATTATCCAAGAGCTAAATCTGCCAATTGCAGGTCTTTGTTTAGGCCAGAAATGTTATCTAAATTATTAATTAGACATTTATAAACATGACAAGACTATAATCGACTCTTGATGGTATCAGATGGTTCTGATTTTAAGTAGATTAGAAAGGTTTGGCCATTTAATAATTTGATTTAAAAATGTAGAAGTGAGGCTAAGACTCGAATAACCAGTGCAGTGGTTACGATCAATGCACACATCTTGTCAAAACTACAACCATTGATAACTTCGCTCAAAATAAAGTAATTTGAATGAAATCTTCAATATATTCATTTTGTATTATCTATTTTTGAAATATAACAAGAACGACCAGCTCTTCATTTAAATTTTACATAATGTCTGTTTAAGCTATTGTCTGTTTAAATCAAGTATGGATAATTATAACAGTTATTCTGTAGGTAGGGGGGGTGGATGGCTAAGTGGTTAGCACGTGCGCGCTGTATCATTAAGTCTGTCATTGAGTCAACTGGCGTGGTTTCGAATCCCCGGTTGTACGTGACAAGGAATAGGGTCGCTTGTCCAACCTTGTGGGTTTTCTCCGGGTTCTCCGGTTTCCTCCCACTGCTAAAGACCCCTACGCGCAAGCGAATTATTGAAATAAAATTGAACCATGTGCTAGTCCCAAAATGACCTAGTTTGTGTCGAGTGGACGTTAAACCCCATCTCTCTCTCTCTCTCTGTGTTTATGTAGGTAAAATAATATTTGATTATTATTTTGTGTAAATAATGTATATAGATCATTGTAAATATATCATGTTGGATTATCATTGTACTAGATTGTATTGTGATAGTACATGTTAAATAGATCATGTTACATTATCATTGTACTAGATTGTATTGTGATAGTACAGGTTGAATAGATCATGTTACATTATCATTGTACTAGATTGTATTGTGATAGTACATGTTGAATAGATCATGTTACATTATCATTGTACTAGATTGTATAGTGATAGTACAGGTTGAATAGATCATGTTACATTATCATTGTACCAGATTGTATTGTGATAGTACAGGTTGAATAGATCATGTTACATTATCATTGTTCCAGATTGTATTGTGATAGTACAGGTTGAATAGATCATGTTACATTATCATTGTACTAGATTGTATTGTGATAGTACATGTTGAATAGATCATGTTACATTATCATTGTACTAGATTGTATTGTGATAGTACAGGTTGAATAGATCATGTTACATTATCATTGTACTAGATTGTATTGTGATAGTACAGGTTGAATAGATCATGTTACATTATCATTGTACCAGATTGTATTGTGATAGTACAGGTTGAATAGATCATGTTACATTATCATTGTACTAGATTGTATTGTGATAGTACATGTTGAATAGATCATGTTACATTATCATTGTACTAGATTGTATTGTGATAGTACAGGTTGAATAGATCATGTTACATTATCATTGTACTAGATTGTATTGTGATAGTACAGGTTGAATAGATCATGTTACATTATCATTGTACTAGATTGTATTGTGATAGTACAGGTTGAATAGATCATGTTACATTATCATTGTACTAGATTGTATTGTGATAGTACAGGTTGAATAGATCATGTTACATTATCATTGTACCAGATTGTATTGTGATAGTACAGGTTGAATAGATCATGTTACATTATCATTGTACTAGATTGTATTGTGATAGTACAGGTTGAATAGATCATGTTACATTATCATTGTACTAGATTGTATTGTGATAGTACAGGTTGAATAGATCATGTTACATTATCATTGTACTAGATTGTATTGAATCAATCTGATTAAAACACAGATCCTATTCTGTTTCGTGGTTTCCCCTTGTCAGTGATGCAGGACAGAGGGCCTGACAAGGACAGCTGTCTTGTCCTTTGGATGATACGAAAAACTGAGGTCCCGTGTATACATTGAAATGCACGTAAAAGATCCCTTTGCAGTTGGAATTCGATATAGAGTAGGCGATAGTGCCGCTGCCCGGGCAAAATTTCCCTCATAGCACACTGTATGGCATATGCCGGTCTTCATTAGCCCAGAATAGGAGCAGAACAGTAGGACGTTAAACCCCATTTCATTTCATTTCCTATTTCGTTTCATTTTTTATAGTTGAAACTTTAGATTTACTTGTCTTTACTACACTAGGATCTGGAAGAGTTGTTATATAACCCTCGTTCTGTATGATGTGAGTTGTTATATAACCTGCGTTCTTTGATGATGTGAGAGATTAGCCAATGAAACGGTCTGTTACGGCGAGTTTTTGGCCTGTGATGCACGAAACTGTGGGTATCCCACTAGAAACAACAACGCTGATTCGATAATCAAATGTCTAACGTCATAGGGTCAAAAGCTGCTCGTATGACCTCTAACGGAACCTTCCACTACGACCGGTCAGATCGAGACCATCGAAAGTATAAAAAAACAAAACGAAATATAGATGTGTATTTTAATGAGATCGGTTAATTATTGAATTGTGATGGTACAGGATAAATATAAGGTACAATGTTTGCCGAAAATTAAACTTGTTTTAGATGAAAATTTATTTAACCATTTTGACAACAGATCACTAATGATTTCCCCATTGACTTTAATGTTAATTCTCGTCTTTTAGACAGGTTCCAACTTTTTCCCAAATTTTCGTTGGGTAGAATGCATCAAAATCATGAATATTCTCCAAAACCTGACAGAAAACGTATTTCCAAACCCCTTTCTTTCATTCTTCACCAAAAAAGTCAACAAAAAACACAATGGAAAAAGGGTGGGGGGGAGGAGGGAGAGAGACTAAAAATAACTTTCTCCCTTCATTTGTTGGCAACTGCGTAGGAATATTTGGTGAGATGTGTCCCATATTTATGGTGTTGTCACCTCGGTTTATCTGTTGCAGAGTTAGCTCCCATCACTGAAACCTTGGAGATCTTATTTTCCACACTGATCAGCAGTGAATATGTGACTTAATGAGCCCCAAATATTAACTTTGTTCCTCAGACAAATTCTAAAACATTTTTTTTATGTATTAGAAAAATAAATAAAGAAATTTGAAATATTTGTAGGTAAAAATTATTTCCTATTTAGTGTAAATGGGTATTAAAATGAGTAAATGGCACCATTCTGCCCGAACCAGTAATGTCTTATGTAAACAGTGCACTTGCCGTTCAGTCAATGACTGACGCCGCGTGATGTGACGTCACGTGTTGAAGACAGTCATCTTCACAGAGATATTAGAAGACTTTTGTAATTCACTGTGAAACAGATTGCGACTTCACCTAAAGAAAGAGCAGTGCATACTGCCCAAATTCATGATTTTAAAAATGGCAGTTCACTAGATTCAAATGTCCATTATTTACTTAAATTTACTTTTCTAGAGATTTATTACTGGATTGATATAAATTTGGAACGGTAGGACGTTAAACCCCATTTCATTTCATTTTGTTAATATAAAGTTGGGTTGCATCTTAAAGATACATTATCTAAGAGCTAAATCTGCCAATTGTAGATCTTTTTTCTCGCTTCAAATGGTATGTAAATTAGTTTACATGACACGCCCACAATCAACTCTCTAGACCAGCAATTGGTTAAGATATTTAGTTGATTGCCATGTTGTCATTAAACTTTAAAATGGATGTCACTCACAGAGACGACGGTCGATTGAAGGACTACGAGTCAAGACTTTATTCTTATTACAGTGACTTTGGCACTTGACAATTTCTACTACTTGGGCTATTCTTGTCAAAACATCAAACATTAATAACTTCGCTGAGAATAAAGTAATTTGACTGAAATTTTCAATATAATCATTTTTCATTATCTATTTTTAAACTATCACAGAAATAATGGCCATCTCTCTATCTCAATCTTACATAATATATGTTTAATAATATTGTCTAATGGAGTGCTACATCACAGAAATGTTAGTGGTGTTGGGCTGGTGCTTAGTATACTCACTGAATGATATATGGGACTTGTACAAAATTTATAACTATTTCAGTATGTAGGAATAAATATGGTTGTTTTATTACTTGAATTAAAGGAATACTGTCTCTTGAACACAATACTTTAGTCAATTTGAAACCAACATGATTATATTTATGGAGAATGCCTACTAGTCCACAGATTGCAGTTATTGTGGTCGTTCAGTTGTTGCCATTGACAAAATGCCTCAAACCAGCTGCTTCTGTCGATACCCCTATAGCTCTTAGTCGCGATTTGAGGCTCTTCCATTAGGTTTGGCACCTGGAAAGGGATCTGTGCTCTGCGAGAATAAAAATCGATTGGGTACTGTGAAGGTCGGGTTTAATTTTGATCGGGCTGCTGGATGTCGGGATCTACTAGGTGGCACTGCTGACTTGGGTTTCTGGGCGATCTTGGCTTTTTTCAAGGGGGAAGCAACTCGGGTAGGTAGCGCTCTGACTTTCTTAACATCCTACATTCTGCACCAATCGGACTAATGTTGATGGGCATATGTCATGCGGTGTGCTATGAGGGGAATTTTGCCCAGACAGTTTCGCTACAGCCTAATCTTATATTGAATTCTATCTGCCGAGGTTTCTTTTACATGCAACCTAAAGTATACAGAACGTCAGTGTTCTGTCCCATGCAGGAGGTCGCGTGTTCGATCCCTGTATTGGCCAAGAAAGTTCATCAGGATTTTCTGACAGGGTTTTCCCTTGGCAGTGGTGCAGGACAGTCTGACAAGGACAGCTGTCTAGTCGTCGGATGGGACAAGAAACTGAGGACCCGTGTATACATTGGTGAAATGAAATGGGGTTTAACGTCCTACTGTTCTGCTCCTAACCTGGGCTAATGAAGACGGGCATACGCCATACAGTGTGCTTTGTGGGAAATTTTGCCCGGGCAGCGGCACTATCGCCTACTCTTATATCGAATTCCAACTGCCAAGGGATCTTTTACGTGCATTCCAATGTATACACGGGACCTCGGTTTTTCGTATCATCTGAATGACTAGACAGCTGTCCTTGTCAGGCCCTCCGTTCTGCACCACTGACAAGGGGAAACCACGTCAGAAAATCCCGATGAACTTTCTCTGTCATAGTGCCGCTGCCTTGGCTAAATTTCCCTCATAGCACACTGTATGGAGTATGCCCATCTAAATTAGCCCAGTCGTAGCAAAACAGTAGGACATTAAACCCCATTTCATTCCTATCCGAATGACAAAACACTGTTTTCTGCCAGGCCTTCTGTTTTGCACAACTGACAAAGGGAGAGAGAGAGAAATGGGGTTTAACGTCCACTCGACACAAACCAACATATGGTTCAATTTTATTTCAATAATTCACTTGTACATATGGGTCTTTAGCTGTGGGAGGAAATCGGGAGGACCCAGGGAAAACCCATAAGGTTGGACAGGTGACCCTACTTCTTGTCAGGTACACAACCAACCAGGGAAAACCGTCCTGGAAAAATTGTGGAATTGAACCCCATATTTCCTGATAACCTTTCTCGGCCAATGCAGAGATAGAACAAATATATTTGGGATGAGCATTCAAGACTCTATTGAATAAAACCAAGTTGATATTACAGATTTAAATCTCTCTTTATTTCCGACAAATATTTTCCACAAGAAAATGACAAAATAACATTTATAAATTTTATTGTAATATTTCTTAGAAAAAAAAACATTACAATGGACAATGGTTATAATGAGAAACTGTACAGACTTAATATATATATGTATAATAATAATAATAATAATCATCGTTTGTTTACATAAGAATGAATAAACCGTATTTAAAATTAAAAAAAACCCCATAAATTAATTTATCTGTTAATTTATCAGATTGTTTTAAGTAAAGATTGAAACTGTATCCATATTTAATATCTTTGATACAGTACTGGGCCCTTATTCACCAAAACTTAAACTAAGATACAATCGAAATTTTAAGAAATACTGCAATTCGATTGGCTGACCAATATGCAAATTGGATATATGCAAATTGATTTTACTGGTCAGCCAATCGAATTGCAGTATTTCTTAAAATTTCGATTGTATCTTAGATTAAGTTTTCGTGAATAAGGGCCCAGAACTTAGAAGAATCTTAAATCTAGAATTTTGAGAAAGAAAATTCTGGAATGATGAGCTACCTACCACTACTTAAATTCAAGTGAAAATCCAACGAAAATTTATCGCTAGGATTATTGCAGAAATAAAAGAATCTTAGCACCCATTAACAGAAATATAAATTGCTAACCAAGTCTGAAAAAATGTATTAACCAATTCTTCAAACTGACTGGAAATCATAAGCAATGTACTGCATTTTGTTTAATTTTAAAAGGAACGGTTAACTAGTGATATGTTTTATAGAAATAGGAAAATAACTGGAGTGAAAAAAGATAAGTTATTGATTTGAGTATTATCCAGTATCAGAAAATATAAAACTTGTTTCATTCATACGGTACATATTTTTATAATAATGAACAGGAATAGTGTCAATAATTTATTAAGAATTATTTACTGCCCATTTTGTTTCTCTGAGATAAAAAGAAATAACTTAAGATGAGATCAAATAATAAATAATGTGCTGCAAAAATTAGATTACTGCCTTAATAAATTCACATATGCATTACTCTGTCTGTAGCATATTTCTTTTTACTTTGAATTTAAACTTAATTATCGTAACATACAACTTTAGCTGAAGTCTGAGCAATGCATACGACCGTAACAAGTGCAGAAAGATCAAACAGTTTGGAAAATAGTTTTTCTTCACGAAGATATTTTAAGGCTGCAAGGAAAATCAAAACCCTAAATTAAATCAGTCATAAGATTGTGAAAAAATTAATAAAACGAAATTTGAAAAACTATTGTTATATAACATAACATTGACTCAATATGGGCTTCTTACATTGGCTGGGATGCCGCCACTAAACTCAACTTGTTGATGAAAATATTTCATCATACACACAAAATTGGTACTGCCATTTTCATTTTTTAGTTTCTGTTCTATGAGATAATTTTTATATTACACAATATCAGTGTTTATTTCCATTCATGTGAGAGAGAGAGAGAGAGAGAGAGAGAAATGGGGTTTAAGTCCACTAACATGGTTCTATTTTATTTCATTAATTCACTTGCTCGTAGGGGTCTTTAGTGGTGGGATGAAACTGGAGGACCCGGAGAAAAGCCATGAAGTTGGACAGGCGACCCTACTACTCCTTGTCGCGTACAACCAGGAAATCGAAACCACGCCAGTTGATTCAATGACAGACCTTATGATACAGCGCACACACCATTCATAAGAACATGTTACAAGTTTCGGTTTAGAATCACAACAATGTAATAGAAATCCAAAATTAATTAAACTTCTTTTTTATGACAAAATTTTACAAGAGTGCATTGTAGTGTTTCAGTGTAAAATGCCTCAAAACCCTTGAATTTCATTGGTCCACAGCTTGGTCTAGGACAGACAGAAGGTTTAAGGGGGACCTTATATACTATGTTATTTCAGGGCGTTGAGGAAATAAAGCAATACGAAATTACAAAATGTAAACAATAATTCTCTTAACCAATCATTTCATAGAAATACATATATCTATGAAAAATGTTACAAAAAAATGATCTTAAATAATTACGAAAAATATTAAAGTAGACATTAATAATTAATACTCTTACAATGAATGATTTGAGTACAAATTTAGTTTTACAAGTATATATAATGTATGTAATACGAACATGGACCATTATTTCGATGTTTTACCAAATATGGTTTGATGGAATATAAATTAGATGATAAATATGTTAATGAGATCATTTCACTTATTGTGATTGGTGGAATAATATATATAATATGTAAATGAGGTGAGCAGATGTGTTTTGCCTTTTATGTACTTTTGACCTCTTGTGGTACAAAACTGGAAATATGTGTTTCTCCCTTTTCACAAAAATGGACTAGCCTCTTAATTGTTATTAGCAGTTTATATTTGGACTAGTCCATTCTATTCTTTAGGGATGTTTTATCTTGGCAAGTACATATTTCCAATCCTACATGACTAAATTAACACATTTTAAAATACCCTTCAATATCAAGTACATTTTTAATTCAGCAGTTTATAATGATCCTGTCGTCAACAAATTTTGAGCTTCTTTTCTCTTGTCCATTTCTTACTGCCTAATTATAATTTATTCCATCAAAAAGATCATTCGACGCTTGTAAATAGCTACTTTCAATTTCTCTTACAATCTACCAATCAAAATGACCTAAAATGATCATGTGATATGGTTTATTGCATAGTAAGTTTTGATCAATGATAATTTGACTGCCATTTAGTATCGTCTGATTGGTATATAAAACACCATGATTGTAGTTCAAGTAAAAAATATCTTTATGTTATCGAATCTCCTGCCATTTTGATATTATAAGGCTTGTAATTATTACACCTGATGTTTTTTTTTAGCTCCCTGCTTCATAATAAATAGCTCAGAGGAGCCATTTCTCTCTCAATTATATAAATATGAGAACTCATTTTTTCTACTTTTAATTTATACCTGAGAATCTAACTTTCACTTTGTTACAATATGATCAATCCATCATTTATAACATCTACAACAGACTACTCTTGTCTGTCTTATTATCATCTATTAATAGAAATATCTACACAATATATGATGATGTAATACACAAGTTACATAAACACCATGAAATCAGTGATGTATTACCCATGAAATGAAATATAGAACTTTTACACATAAATAATGTCATTTAGCAAATGTCACATTGTATCTATCGTATTTTCTTCACAAAAAAAAAAATTTCACTCTTTACTCCAAAATTATATCACACTATTTTAAGCAAACTTTTCTTCAAGTCATCTATTCAGTCACTTATATATCCATTTTTTTTTTTTACAGAAATAGTAGAAATGAGCAACATCACTATCACTTCATAGTCATGTCTGTATTCATGCACAATAACTGATGATGTAGCATCCATAATGTCATGACATCAACCACACGCACACGCAATTTGATGATGAAGAGCACATTGGATTATCAACAGATACTACCAGAGGCAGAAGGTGTGCTTGACTGAAATAAAGAACACAAATTTGATTAAATCATTGTGGAGGCAAAAAGATTCATAATTTATATATTAATTTGAAACATCTTTAAAAATGTCCGTAGTGAATAATTTTCAATGAAAGAAATTTAATACTGGTAAATATTTTGTGTAGCTACACACTGATCATAGGGAAATGAAATGGGGTTTAACATCCTACTGTTCTGCTCCTAAACTGGGCTAATGAAGATGGGCTGGTCATAGAAATTTACTGATCTAATTAATAATTCTCATGCTATATAGTTAAATTTACTTAATTACTGTATGCAAAGCTGAAGACAAATTACTTTATCTACAAACAGTAATTACAATGATTTTAAACTTCGAATTTGAATGATACTCTTTCAATCCCTATAGAGCAGGGATTCTCAACCAGTGTGCCTCTACATTTTGAACGGCACAGTAAGAAAATGTGAAAAACCATGACTTTGTGATCCCAGTTGAGTATTCACTGGTGTCTACTGATAGGCTCATAGTTGTGTTTTTCTTTATTTAGTTTGAGTCATTCTATGTGTCTATGACTGACTGTGTCTACGATTGTATGCCGTCTATGACTTGCCATGTTTTTATTTTGCAAAATTTTTCATTTATATTTAGCCATGACGTGTGCCGCTATTTTTTCAAGTGTTCCAAGGTGTGCCGCTGGCAAAAAAAGATTGAGAACCACTGCCATTGAGTATTAATTTCAGTCATATCTTTCTCATTACTATATAGAGTGCACTTAGAAGATATTAAATTAAACCACATCCTGATAATAATGAGTAAAATTACGATTGGCCAGTGTCATTTAGGATTGTCTAAATATATACTCACATGAATAACGAAGTTGTCGTATATCTCTATGAGAGTTTCTAGTTTATACTGATTGAGAACAATGAAGTTTTCTAACTTTGGACTGATTTTACGAGCACAGTCCTGACAATGGACGACAAATTTCTTATCTTGTTCCTTTACAAACAAAATATTAAACACCTCCAACTGAAAACAAACAAAATTAGCATTAAAAAAAATAATGGAAACTATATGTGTGTCATATTAAACATACATTATGCAAGAGCTAAATCTGCCTATTGCAAGTCTTTCTTTAGGCCTTAAATGTTATCTAAATTATTAATAAGACATTAATTAACTTATCCAGGCCATAATCAACTCTCGATGTCATCGCTAGCCTGCGATATTTTCTGGATTTGAATAAATTTTGTAATGGATTATTGAATGTCAAAATGGATAATCAGGACTTTGTTTTTTTTATCATACCGACTTTAGGAATGATGACCGAGGCTAGGCCTAAAATTCAATCGCTAATATCTCAGTTCAGAGTGGAGCAACTTGATTGAAATTGTCAGCATGTTCTATTTACGTTATCTAGTTTTTAACTATTATAGCGAGAACAGTCAACTCTTTATCTAATCTCCCATAATGTATCTTTAATTCAAACATTACATTATCATATTATTCATCTAGCTTAATTTTCCCGAATTTAAGAGATGCGTTGAAGATTATCATTAAAAGAATCTAAAGAACTCCTGCAAATATTCACCAATATTTAGATCTGTTGTATTTGAATCTTACCTCACAATCATCACAATAAGTGGCAGCTTCATCTCGTGCTCGGCCCTGCCATTTTACCTCAAATCCCAACTCCTCCACAAAATCTATTAACATCTGTATTTGTCGTAATGATCTCAGTAAAACATACCTATAAAATAATTGTTACATACATTAAACAAATACAAATAAAGTTGGTAATCCATAACAATTCAAAATGTAGTTTCATAATTTGACAGACATCCCACTTTTTGTAAGCATTGACAGATATCCCACTCTTTGTAAGCATTGATTTTGTCCGAAAATCTTGCCAATTTCTATTGATAATCTATTGGAATCGTCCACACCTATCGCATCTCTTAAACATCAATGAGTCCGATTTTGGAAAGCGAACATATTTCAAACATTTTACTAGACATTTATATTTAACCCTCATGTACATAACTTTCGTCGTATGCTTCATGAAACGGGTCCCAGATATTTTCAATTTCAATCTTCATGTTTTCAACTTGAGAATATATAGATTGTATTGCATGTGCTGTACTCTTGTATTTTTGTTCTGTCTATGTGTTTTAAAGCAGTTTTCCTGTATTGTCTATTACATGGCAAGAGACAGATAAATGGGGTTTAACGTCCACTGGACACAAACTAGGTCATTTCGGGACTAACACATGGTTCAATTTTATTTCATTAATTCGCTTGAGCGTAGTGGTCTTTAGCAGGAGGAAAGCTTAGGATTCAGAGAAAACCCACGAGGTTGGACAAGCGACCCTACTCCTTGCCACGTACAACCGGGGAATCGAAACCATGCCAGTTGACTCAATGACAGACCTTATGATACAGCATGCACATACTAACCATTCAGCCATTCAACCCCACCATATGAATATGTATTTTTTATGATCAACTTTTAATTATTAGTAATAAAACTTATAAACTTACTTGACCAATTCATACATTCTAGGCTCTACAATGCTGATATTACGGGCGATATTCCATGATAAATGTACCATCGGAACAATAGATTTATAACATTGTAATTTATTCCATTCATAACGTTCTAAAGCTAACTGATACTGGCGAGCTGTCATGGGTCCAACATTCCATGCTATATTATTACACCAACCCTAAAATATAAACATACAATATTAACATCAATAGATGATGATTTTTAAAGAATAAGACAGCCGCCATTTAATTTAAGTTAAAGACAACATAAACAGTCATGTCAACAGCATTTTAGTTTCAACTTCCTTTTTAAAATTAACCCGTAATTAGGACTCCTTATATCGCCATAATCATGTGAACAGGTGTGACACCCCTAGCAAGGAAAGGTATTCACATATGTCAATGGATTTGCAGAGTTCTAAGGACTAGTAGTAGTTTCTGGCTGTTCAATATTTACCATACCAACAGTCAAAAATAAAATGAAATGAAATGGAGTTTAACGTCCTACAGTTCTGCTCCGACTGGGCCAATGAAGACAGGCATACGCCATACAGTGTGCTATGAGGGAAATTTCGCCTGGGCAGCAGTACTACGACCTACTCTTATATCAAATTCCAACTGCCAAGGGATCTTTTACGTACACGCCAATGTGTACACAGAACCTGTTTTTCGTCCCATCCGAACGACTAGACAACTGTCCTTGTCAGGCCCTCCGTCCTGCATCTCTGACAAGGGAGAATCACGCCGGAAAATCTGGATGAACTTTCTCGGCCAATGCAGGGATCAAACACCCGACCTTCATCTTACCCATTTAGCCACCGTGATCCCCCCAAAAAAGATGACATGACAAGGAAGTAGAAATTGTTAGGACACTAATATAATAAGCTCCTTCAAATTAACCCATTGCTACGAATGTTACAATAAAACACTTACCACAGCTTGAACCCAGTGAACTGTTCCAGGTCCAATCCACACCAGATCTCCAGGTTTCTGGATGAATCTATAAACAGGTACATCTTCTTCGTATAGATCTTCTAATACAGGCCACCATGATCCCGTTAAATAATTTATATTATGTCTGAAATATCAAAACAATACAAATCTTTAAAATCTATTCATACATGATGGTCTTCACGTTTTCAACTGGAACTAACATCTAGTATTTTCTCATTTCATATGTTTGTGGATCAAGAATTTTGTCTGGATTAACCCTTTAACCGTCGGATTGTTTTTGGGTTTCAACACGGAAAACTCTATATTTCTATGAGCAGAAAGACTAATATGACGTCACAGATTGTTTCATCAAGGAAAGAAAAATCCTGTAACTATTTAGATTTAAGAATAAATCATACAAATGTTGAAATGTATATATTTTTGGACAGATCTTGAATTCCTCTATTCAGTGGTATAAAATATTTAACACTTACAGGTCATCACCTGGAAAGTGGCTTCCTGAAACATTCTATATTGAAGGTCTGAAGGTTAAGCGGAGGACCTGGAGAAAACATATGAGGTTGGACAGACGACCCTACTCCTTGTCACGTACAACCGGAGAATCGAAACCTCACCAGTTGACTCAATGACAGATCTTATGATACAGCGGGCACACGCTAACAATTCGATCATCCCCCTGCTGATTCATGCTGGATTCTAAGTAAAAGAAACTAACCTTTCACATAAACTCTGTATAACTCCCCAATATTGATCGGGTACAGCAAACCATTCACAATCTCCTGGTCCAATATTTATATTTACAGAACAAAAATTATTATTTTCTTGATGACCTAGAACAGGAGAAGAATGGGGTTTAACATTCTGTTTCAACATACATTATGCAAGATCTAAATCTGCCTATTGAAGGCCTTTCTTTAGGCCTTAAATATTATCTAAATTATTAATTAGACATTAATGAACTTATTCAGACCATAATCAACTCTCCATGTCATCTTATGATGATCGAAGCTAGGCTTAAAATTCAAAAAATAATATCTCGGTTCAGAGTGGAGCAATTTGACTGAAATTTTAATATAAGTTCTTAAAATGTATAGCAGTACATCAGTGAGAAAATAGCCTTCTCCCAAGGAATTTGAAAAATTCTGACCAGTTATGGAAAGTCAAACCCGATTTGTACAATTGTTGCCCAGACAACCAATGACAACAATGTTATGGTTAAAATATAAGAATGTTAATAAACCTACCAGGTGTACGCGATCCAGGCACTTTCATATAAAGCTGTACAGTATTCATACCTAATATGGTATGACCTACATGACTGAGAAGATTACCGGCAGAAACAACACGAGTAAAAGCTGGCAACTTTGTTAACTCGTGAAGTTGACTACGCCATTTTCTCTCATCAGATAAATCTACATTCGTTCCAAACTTTATCACTTTTGACTTTTTTCTGAAAAAAACAGGTCAATGTTATTAATAAGCTTGATAAAATAAACGAGATCCTTCTACATGATTGCTGGTATTTTTAATGTCAACAATAATCTTGCCGAGATCATCACCCCCCCCCCCCCCCCCCCCGGACACATTTTGTTCTATTTTCAGATCTAAATATAGGTCTATATATCGTTTCTTTTTTTTTATAGCTCAGCAGACTCCAGTTCCCTACATCTAGAAATGAAATGAAATGGGGTTTAATGTCCTACTCTTACTGGGCTAATGAAAACGGGCATACGCCATACAGCGGCACTACGGCCTTCTCTTATATCAAATTCCAAGGGCGTCACTGAAAGTTTTGCCCTGGGGTGCCACATGGGCTTGTGAGGGTCCCGAATACAGCTCAAATAGTAGTGATGGGGCACCTCTAACGTAATATTTTAGCTCAGGAGAGCCAATACTAAGAAATAAATGATCTGGCATTCAACAGTCCAGGGTTTAAATTAAAAAAACAAAAGTAAAATTAGTAAACAAACATGTTATCCTTTTCCTGTTTATTTAAGATTAAATACTTACTTTTTAGAAGATGTAGAGGAATTTGAATCACTATCAGAATCTTTATGTTGACCTCGGGCTTTATCATGTTCTTCCTATAAAATAAAAGTAGAACATCTTTAATTATATACACACAAGGGAGAGAACTCTGCAAAATTATCTCCCCTTAGACCACAAACGTCAATTACTGATGTTACAAAGACAGCAGCTTTGTTTTGAGGGCTTGTTTAAAATATCCAGGTTATTCTTTAAACTTTTACTTACCCTTAATGATTCCTGGAAGGATGACGCCTGATATTGAGCATATTTGGCAATAGATGTATGACTTCTGCTACTTTCACATTTCCACACTTTTTTACCTAACTGGTCTCTATTCTCATCTGGTGCTTGTTGTTTCTATAAATAATAAAATACTCCATTACAGTTTAATACTTTGAAAAAAAATTATGTTATGGCGATCTTTAAAAGTACATGTTACTTACTATTGATTCCACACTACTAGGGGGGGTCGGGTGGCCGAATGGTTAGCGTGTGCGCGCAGTATCATAAGGTCTGTCACTGAGTCAACTGGCGTGGTTTCGATCCGCAGGTTACATGTGACAAGGAGTAGGGTCGCCTGTCCAACCTCGCGGGTTTTCTCCGGGTCCTCCCACTGCTAAAGACCTCTATGCACAAGTGAATATTGAACCAAAATTGAACCATCTTAGTCCCGAAATGACCTAGTTTGTGTCGAGTGGATGGTTAAAACCCATTTCTTTCTCACCACACTGCTATCCATGAACACTGGTGTCAAGATGGTATTCTGTTTAATTGTCTAAATTACTATTTTTGTCTAAATATTTTTTGTACTTCAGTCGTATTGTAGCTTAAAGAACTTAAAGAAAATATAATACTGACCTGCGCTCGTACTTCTACCCTGTGATCAGAATTCGCTTCAACTAAAGTTTTTGTAGAAAATAATCCTAAATCTAAAAAATAAAAAAACTATATTATAAATACACAACTTTGAAATCTATAAGGTAAAGGAATTCCATCATATAATTTTACTATAGATAAAAGGACACCGGAAAATCTTCAAATTTGTTTAAATAATGCAAGTAATTATATCAACATATCCTTTCCATAAGTATAACATGAATCCGAATATCAATATTACTGGCAACAGATAAATTTCAAGGTTAGTAATTCCTGTTGTCTCCATGAGTAGTCGTAACTTTACATCAATAAACAATCTGTGACGTCATTTTAGTCCTTCTGCTCATATTCTATATTTCTATGAGCAGAAGGACTAAAATGACGTCATGGATTGTTTATTGACGGAAAGTTACGATATAGAGTATTGATATAGGGTAAAATTTATTTAATTTACCTAATTTGAGTGCTCCTGCTAATCCACGAATAACTACTACTGGCTGTGAGTGACAATATTGTTGTAATTCTGGTGAAAAGGCATCTCTTTTACTCTCCAACTAAAATACAAATAAACATTTCATAAACAACATTTTATAAACAACATTTTATAAACAACATTTCATAAACAACATTTTAGCAATTCATCAGAAATCAGACGTCCTTGTGTCGGTCTCGTTTGTGATAAGATTTTTCAGGTTGCATTTGTTGTGTGTGGTGAAGTCCTCTTGCCCTTATAATTTTTACCAGGCATATAATAAACACAAAATGACTTCCAAAACATTTAGCGAAAAAAGTAACCAATTACATAATATGTTAATTTATCTTCCAAAACATTTGCCCTTGAAAACAATGAGCTGTCTTGCTTACAAACGTTGATTCCATGAGGTATGAAATTTGTGACTAGCAATGGACTTATTTCTAGCTTCTATGAAGTATGACATCCGTGACCAGCAGTCAGCTTATTTCTTACTTCAATGAAGTATAAAATTTAAATGATTAAAAAAAACCCAACTTACATAGACACTAGGTGTAGGTGGGTTCAGATGATCTTTTGGTAACGGGGGTGACGGTGGGGCGGCTGGGGAAGGGGGTGGACCAAAGTCTTGTAACATATTCGTTAAGCAGAAGCCATTTTTACCTGAAAGAAATTTATAAATGAATATAAATAATAACAAATATAAATAAATTATTTTCTTATCACAATCATATAAATATCAATTATCATAGTTTTTAATCCCAATCAGATACTTGAAAAAGTGTGTCCGCTTCGCCGAAGCATTCGCCCAATTGTACAATTCATTAGTCAATCACCACTCATCATCCACTCATATCAAGAAGTCACCATGTTTAATCATGTGACGTGAAAGTGATGCAATCGTCTGGTGAATTGTGCGAAGGATTTGACTAGTGTGTCAAACTATTGGGCCGAAAAAAACTTGGCGCCAATTGATTCAGCCGAACGAGTCAGCCCAATGATTCGGCTAATGTGTCCACCACTTAAAACATCCCACATTTAAGCGAGTCTAATTCGCGGAAAAAGATTTTTTTGATTTTTTTTTGTTGAAAAAAAAACAAAAGATTTAAAAGTTAAATGTTACCTAAGCCTCGAGATAAATCTATTATTTCTTTGCCAGACAGTTGTAAATTAAATGCTGAAATCTGTTTATCTTTCTGCTCCATCTTGCCGCTTCCTTCACTTGTGGAATGTAATAAGTTTTTAATGTGTGACTGTGAGAGAGTTAAAGGTTTCATGGATAACGCTCCTTGACTAGCATCGCCTGCCTTTTTACTTCTTGAAAATTGAGTGATGAAATCTTCCGCAATAGAGGTAGTAATGTTTGGTCGGGAGAGTAGACTGCTGATTTCCTGTTCGCTCATGTTGGCTGCTCGTAGATTGTGTATAAAATCTGATGGTAAAGTGTTTGAGATCGATGTCGGGTGAAGTGGACCAGCAGACGGCAGAGTTATTCCTGAGGCATTGGCGTTTGCCGACGTCGCTGCCAATGCTGCTGCTGATCGATGAGGCGTGACTGGTCCATTGCCACGGTTGAATGGAATGTTGGAGGCAGGAGGTAGATTCCCGTGTAAAGGTAAAGGCACTCCACCAGGTAGTCTCTGACCTTGATCTTGTTCTCCACTTTGACCTTGACCTGGCATTCTGGGTTTACCTGAATAGGGCAGGAAATCAACATCAGTGTTACTCGAGGAATAAAATGGTGCAGCAGATGTGGAAGATGCATGGGCAGAGTATGCAGAAGGTGAAGAAAGAGGAGTAGGAGTTTGAGACTGTAAAAAGTTATCGAGAGATTTGGTAAAATTTGAGAATGTAGGAAAACCAGAGAAAGATGAGGTGCTAGAACCATGCAGACGCTCAGATGACAGAAACTCAAATGAAGAAGGTGAAGGTCGTCCAAACACGTTACCTGGAGATCCACTTGAACCAGGTGAATTATGCTGACTGGATGGAGGGCTAGTTGAATGGCCTGGTTGTCCTGGTCTTACCACAGCCTGAAACAAAAAAACATGTAATTATTATTTCTGCATTTTGTTTATATAGGGTCGCCTGTCCAACTTCGTGGGTTTTAGACATGTATGTTGAAAAACTGCTTTCAATGAAGCAATGAAATGGGGTTTAACGTCCTACTGTTCTGCTCCGACTGGGCTAATGAAGACGGGCATATGCCATACAGTGTGCTATGAGGGAAATTTTGCCCGGACAGCGGCACTATCGCCTACATCGAATTCCAACTGCCAAGGGATCTTTTACCCTGGTTTTTTGTCCCATCCGAAAAACTAATGAGGTAAAGAGGGACCATGACAGATTTAGTGAAAGTGAAAGTGAAAGTAGTTTACCTGTGGATTATTTATCTTCATCTGTTGTTGTTGAGTAAACTGATGTTGTAATTGTCTCAATGCTTGTTGTTGTTGTGGGGTTAAGTTTGGTTGACTGGCCAATAATTGTAAAAGATTCAACTGTTCACGACTCATAAAACCTGGTTGTGGAGGTGTGGTCGGAATCTCCATATTCTCCGACGAAGGCTACAAAAATAATAACTTTGTGTTAAAAATAAATAAATCGATCCAGAATTGAAATGTAAAGAATAATGAGATTTGTGGACTTATTTAACTTGCACACAAGGGAGGAAACCAGTGATAAATCAGGAAGATGACAAGAGATGATCCACCAACTGAACAAAGTGAAATTTAGCGCGATAATTATTCTGGTGCCGTGACCAAAATAATCATTTACTTACTCGCTTTCTTGATTTCTTCTCCTCTTCCATTCTATCTGTATTAAAACCTTGTGTCTGCGCCATAGAAGGGGGCATAACTGATCCTCCCGTTGATAAAATTCCACAAGGCTGAAATAGTCCAAATTATGCAACCGATTCTAAATGTTGTAATATCCATAAATCATAAGTTTTGTCATTTCGAAGTTTTAAAAACATGCACTGTCAATAAGGCGCCCTCGTTAGCCGTGGTCAAATTCATACAAAGAAAAATTGAAAATAATAAAACTTTGATCACTGAGGAGCTCCAGATATGATATTCTTGATTCCTCTATAGGAAGTCGTCCTCATCCATTCCTCAAACCTTGAACCAATCTGGTGCGAAATCGTTTATATAATGAACCATGGCAGTGTAGAGAATTTAAGAGTTTTACTGTAAAGGGATTAAATTTTTACCTGTGAGGTAAGACCACCTGAGTTTTGTCTTGATGTTAATTCAGCAGGTATAGGGAGTCTCCAGGCTTCCTCTATATTAGGCAGTGTTTTAGGCCTAAAATAACAACAAAGCTTCATTTGTTAGTGACAACAAATCCTCAACAAAATATTATAAAACATAGGCCAATAGTCTCAGGTGAATGAAATTAAATGGGGTTCCGGGTTTAACGTCCTACTCCGAACTGGGCTAATGAAGACGGGCATACGCCATACAGTATGCTATGAGGGAAAGTTTGCCGGACAGTGGCAAGGGATCTTTTACATGCATGCCAATGTGTACACCCGACCCCCAGATTAGGAAGCCAGCATCTTACCCTCTTAGCCACCGTGACATTCGATCAAAAAAATATAAAAATGTGAGTACTTACTTTGTTTGAAAATGTTGCATTGGTATGTTTTTTAAATTATGATGTAAAAATTTAATTTTGGCAGCTAAATTAGCGTTAGCATGAACTGTAATAAATACAAAATATTCCATCAAGTATATATACCACACACAACACAATATTGATTGAAATTTATAATTAATTTTTAACACACGTATACAGATGATTAAATATTAAACAATTATCCCTAAGATGTGGAAAATCAACGTGATAATTTCAAAACATTATTTTATGCCCCAACCCACTAGAAACAGAAGCTCGGACCTGCACTCATATGTAAATCGTCATAAATGTCCAAAGGGTTCTGCATGTCTAATTCGCTTGCATGTAGGGGTCTTCAGTTGTGGGAGGAAACCAGATGACCTGGAGAAAACCCACGAGATTGGACAGGCGACCCTACTCCTTGTCATTCGGCCATCCAACCACTCCTGCCCTGCAATGTGTGCCGGGATGTGAAAAATCTCGAATGGTTGTCCTTGGATACTAAATAAGAATCCAGAGGCCTGTCTACTCAGCCCCCACCCATTTAGTGGATCACAGTGCACTCAAAACTTCACTTAATTGTTAAGGAAGCAACAAGAAATTGAATGATATATGCCAGAGTTGTAAGGTTAATGAACGAACCTTTACTATTTCTAGCAGCACGTTGATAACAGGTTAAAGCGTCAGTAGGTTGATTACACGATTCATACAATACTCCTAGATCTGTCCACGCAGCTTGATGGGATTTATCCAGTTGTACAGCACAGATATAGGCTTGTAACGCATCCATAGGCTGATTCTGCTGCTGGTACAGAACTCTATAATATACACGGTTAAACATACAATATACACGGTTGAACATCTATATACACAATTAAACATCTATATACACAATTAAACATCTATATACACGGTTAAACATATAATATACACAAAACATTTGGAAGAACATTTTATAAGACTGAACCACAAACAAATTTAGAGAAATTGAAATAAAATGAAATGGGGTTTAATGTACTGTTCTTCTCCTCTGACTGGGCTAATGAAGACGGCCAAGGGATCTTTTACGTACACGCCAATGTATACACAGAACCTCGGTCCTGCATCACTGAACCACGCCGGAAAATCTGGATGAACTTTCTCGGCCAATGCAGGGATTGAACACACGTAAAAGATCCCTTGACAGTTGGAATTCGAGTACGCCATAAAGTCGCTGTCCAGGTAAAATTTCCCTCATAGCACACTGTATGGCGTATGCCCGTCTTCATTAGCCCAGTCGGAGCAGAACAGTAGGATGTTAAACCCCATTTCATTTCATTCAATAATATAAGTCAAAACATTGACAATAAAACAAAATTTGATTCATTGTTTACTGAGAAGCAAGTGGATGAAAATTCAAGTAGAGAACGTACCCTATGGAGCACCAAGTATCAGCATTAGCTTCAGATTTATCAATAGAATGACGATACCATACAAAAGCATCGTGAACTTTACCAGAACTGGAAAAACATCTGAAATACAAAGTAATTGTGTTTAAAATCTCATATTGAAAAATAGACAAATTAAAATGTTAATTTTTGGTTTTTTTTTACTAAGGCTAACAATAATCTGTCATTAAAAAATTAAATTTCCTGCTTAGAATCCCTAATGGCCAATATGTCTTGTAAAGGGGCAATATACATACTCAGTAGTTTATCTGTGAAAGGGCGATCCCGAGACCCGTGAGGAAGTAGCATTTTAAGTAAACCTTCATCTATAAGGAAAAGATGAACTCGAATATGAGGACAATACTTCTAAGATGTCAGAATCTAAACATAACTTAATTTTGGGGATTTTCTTTTTTCCGTGTATAATTATTGTAGAGCTTACCTTCCTAGTAAATACGATGTTTGACCGTTAGGGTCAAGTTCCAGAGATCTCTGTAAGAATTGTATAGCTCTGGTTTCACGACTGACTTTATCCCCGAATGATTCTACAGTATGATATAACCAACCTGTTGATAGAACGAAAACATGTGAAATAAAAACATCCTAATCGAAGACAACTTTTTAAAACCAAGGTTTACATAGCATGTATCAATATTAAATATCAATATTATTACGTTGACAATATAAAACACTCATCTGTATTATAACATAGTCATCTCAATCGCTCCAGCCTAAACTGGTACAGTGAATTCTAGTCTGAACAAAAGGTCATTTTGGGACTAACATATGGTTCAATTGTATTTCAATACCTTGATTGTGCGTAGGGGTCTTTAGCAGTGGGAGGACCTGGAGAAAACCCACTAGGTTGGACAGGCGACCCTACTCCTTGTTACGTAAAACCGGGGAATCGAAACCAAGCAAGTTGACTCAATGACAGACCTTATGATACAGTTAGGCAGGTGAGATCGAAACTAAAAAGTCAGATAAGAATTTTTTTTTTTTTTCTACATTATTTAACTAGTAACTATTTCTGAGACTTATTCGTTGAAAAATAAATCTATTGTATGCTAACAAGAATGTAAACAAAGCTTTTGTATGACCTGGGATTTTGCAAGTGTTACTTTTATTACGTACCTAATTGCCGTAAAGCAGTTGCTTTGACAGATTTCGACAGTCCTTCTTCTGCTACAAACTGTTCATACGCTTCCTTTGCTTGCTTGAACTCTCCCTGTAAAAATGATCAAAAGTGGGGATGTAGGAAAATTAAGAAATCTTAGTAGCCCCATGACTGTTGCATCATCACTCAGAACGCGTTCAACAAATGGATAAAGTTTCACAATGACAGCATTGGATCACACCTGTCCTTTCCGCACACTAGGGAGATATACTAGGTGTTCTATCATTATATAATCGCATACAAAACCATGCTTATCAACTCATCATGGTCAATTTTAATTTTTAATGACAATGCGAGACAAATGTTATCCAACTTTAACAATAGCAACAAAGCAAATTTCTTCCCAAGCACAAGGTTGACTTATTCTGCCATTTTAAACTGAACTTGTTTAATACATTGAATAAAGATATCAATTATTGTATATTGTACATATGTTGCACGTGTAACGTAAATATATGTGTGACATATTTTACAGAAAATTACTCGTGTGTCAATATTCCACATTTCAAAATCGATTCAAAACAAACTTAATAATTAAAATATTATTCAATAAAATTTACTCGATAAATATACCAAATTATCAATATATAATAAATGCAGTAATTACCTGAACTTCCAACAGATGGGCTATATTTAATCGAACTGAAATAAATTAAAATAAAGATACAAGAAATAAATATATATACCACATGATACACTTTCACCATTTAAATACTGAAAACATTTAAACAACGACTTCTACCATTCTGTATACAGATGACATATGATGAATATATATAGATAATACTTTAATTAAACAATTATATACCATGACAAATTAATACAACACTTATTCTCTGTATCGAAAAACGCACAATATCACCTGTAAAATTCTTTTAATCTTTATCTTAAGCCATGCATAGCAAACAAATGATATAATAAAACGATTAAATTTAATTTGTTACGTAGAAATATCTATCGAGTAAACAATAACATAATTTATCAAACGCTTATGTGCATCATTGATACACGTAACACCTAATTTTACCTGTAATTTTCTTTATATCCTAAACGACAAGCTTTGTTCATAATCATATACCATATGAATGATTTGATATTAATGAACATGTGCCATCTATACAATAATATTTTAATTTTTCAAGTTCTTAACACAAGAAATGAAGTAGAAAATCTTTAAAATTCAAAGTAGACAATAATTTTAATTTTTCTGGGGAGTTGTAGGCCTAACTTGAATAACAAAGTCTTAATAGTCATTTTTATCTTATACATTTTTTTTCTAAGACTAAGTTTTTAAAAAAAAGTCTCAATTGTTTTCATATGATGGATCAGTGAATCATTTTAAAAAGAATAAACATCACAATAAAAATAAAATGTTAGGAAGAAACCTTTGTGGACTGAAAACAAAAATGTTTTATCTACATTACCTATTGTAGTTGTAACAATAAATTTAACCTGCTTCATGATATAAAATTCAACTTACATTCAAATGACAAACGAAAAAATAAATATTAACTTTTATCCTGCACATACAGATCCCGTGTATGTTCAGTCCTCACAGTTAAAATCAATGTATAGATTAAGTAAAGTGCGTGCGTGTACGCAAATATGTTATTTATATCTTCATATTTAACGATAAATGTCAGAGTAACCTGTGAATGTCAGAGCTAGAACCTGCTAATGCACATGATTTTCACGTTAAAAGAAAAAAATAATTTTATGCATCTGTATTCAAATGTTATTGTTGTGTATCCCTTGTGTTATAAATCCACCAATGATAATGGTTACGTTTTTATCAAAACAGTTACACAACAGTGCACATGCTTGATAAACTGGATCGGGTGAACAGACCGGCATATGTTGTTAGATTGAACAAAACAAAAGAAACAATGGCAATATTATTCTACCATACATTATTTTGTTTTGATTAGGTCATTAAAGCAGAAGCTGACATACCATCTGTTGTACGAAAAACACTATTTGATAAAATCTACATGACATTTTCAATACTAATCTTTCATGTCTTTTTGTGAAGTTCATTATTAAAATGAGGTTAGTCAGTGGGTTTTGTATGGTATATTATTTTGTCATGAAAAGGAAGTTTATATCCTTTTAAAATAAACTAACTTCGTAATACGTAATATTGTTCATGTTTGAATAAAGTTTGTGAATATTTTGAAAACTAAAACAGATAATCATCATTTGTAGTTTTAGGACAATATCCAATTGTTCATCGCTCCATTCACACTAAAATGTAATCAAATTGAGGGAGGAAGAGAAATAGGGTTTAACGTCCACTCGAAAAAAGAGAGAGAGAGAGTTTTAACCTCCTCTTGACACACACAAACCAGGTCATTTCGGGACTAACAAATGGTTCAATTTTATTTCAATAATTCGCTTGCACGTAGGGGTCTTTAGCAGTGGGAAGAAACCGGAGGACACGGAGAAACCCCATGAGGTTGGGCAGACGACTTTACTCCTTGTCACATTACTCGCGTACAACCACGGAATCGAAACTGAACTGAGATATTAACGATTGAATTTTAGAATTAGCCTTGATCATCATTACTAATTCGGTACGATAAAAAAACATAGACTTGATTATCCATTTTTGCACTTAATCATCAATGAGCGTTGAGCAGCAGATCGGATTCAAATCCAGTGAAAATTGAACACAAAAGATGGCATCGAGAGTTGGCTATGGCCTTTTCATGTTAATTAATGTCTAATTAATAATTTAGATAACATTTTAGGCCTAAATAAAGACTTGCAATAGGCAGATTTACCTCTTGCATAATGTATGTTTAAATGATTTGATAAAATGAATGCAAATTATCTTATGTTTTAAATGTTTGTATTACACCAGTATGTATATATATCTAATGGGTTCTTTACACATAATACTGTCTATGTTATTCAGGTCAAACAAGACTAACATTAATCTCATCTAAGATCATGAATCATTCACCTGTAATCTGATTGAAGGAAAGGTTAGTCAGTGTATACTCAAGTTTCCGTATTCAATTTAACCCATAAATAATTTACAATAATTTGTAAACATGTCTCTTCACTAATTTACACAGCTAAACAAGCCATGCAAGATACGCCCACATTTTGCAAGAGATGGACAGAGAACAAGCTAAAAAAATATGAGGACATACATGTAATCCTGGATGTTATGGTCGAACACAAGTCAATATCAAAAGGAACCAAGATCTTTGGGATATAAAAAAGAGAGAGAGAAATGGAGTTTAACGTCCAATCGACACAAACTAGGTCATTTCAGGACTAAAATATGGTTTTAATTTTATTTCAATAATTCGCTTCTGCGTAGGGGTCTTTAGCAGTGGGAGGAAACCAGAGGACCCGGAGAAAACCCGCGAGGTCGGACAAGCGACCCTACTCCTTGTCAAGTACAACCGGGGATTCGAAACCACGCTAGTTGACTCAATGGTTTGGGATATAAACGTAAAAATGTGGGCGTATAAAAAGTGACAAAAGCTTTTTACATCTATATTGTCAGTTGATTAAATAAAAGATTCTGTGAAAACTTGTCAATTAAAAATATCTTGTACGCAGTAACCCGTTTTGGATAAATGACGTAGGTTATGTGATAATTTCATTAAAAGAAATCAGATCGATGACATGGAATTCTTTCCACTCACACAAAATGACCTCTTTTTTTTTTTGATCATTTAGTAAATAATAATTTTCTTCCATGGCTTTCGTATCTATTGTACTAAATATTATTATTGATACAAATCATCAGTAAACTATAACTACTTACTTTCAAGTTTTGATAGTGAACTTTCACTGGAATCGTTTAATGCCAAGCGGAAATGCTGAAAATAAGAAAGAAAGAATATGTCAAATTTATCTGAATCCATTAATCGGGTTTAATGAAGAGGATTACGGCAAACATCAATAAAAATAAAACAGAATTCAAAGATTTAAATCAAATTAATCATTCTTTATATATAGAAATTAACATCTATGAGAGAGGGAGAGAGAGAGAGAGAGATGGGATTAACTCCACAACACAAACTATGTCATTTTGGGACTAACAGAAGGTTCAACTTTATTTCAATAATTCGCTTGCACGTAGGGGTCTTTAGCAGTGGGAGGAAACTGGAGGACTAAGAAAAATTAGGAGGTTGGACAGACGACCCTACTCCTTGTCATGTACAACCGGGGAATCAATGACAGACCATCCAACACCTCCACCCCCCCACCACCCCCGAAAATGTGAGACTAACAAGTGTCAAATCCTATTTATGATTGGGTTTTGCCTTTTATGATCAGAGAAAAATAGTCGTTTAAGAAAAGGTGAGATTCAAACACTTTAAGTATACTATTATACTTAAGTTTGTTAAAATCACTGTAATCAACAAACTTGTAGAAGTTCACACTCATCACCAGTGAATATTCACTCAGTTGCTACAATCACTGATAGAGATGACATTGGTGCGGCTTAATGAGCCCCCAATATTAACCTTTTGCCTACTGCAAATTGAATTCTAGAACATTTTTTTTTAAGCATTAAAAAAAACAAGCCAACAGTGAGGCTGATGTCCCCCGCTGAAATAGGAAAATAATTAGAGGACACATATAAATTTATCACAAATTATCTTTTACAAAGTATTGAACAATCAAACAGTAAGTATATCTTTACTTATAGTCTAAGCATACAATGTTTTTGATGATTGCTTATCTCTGCTTACCCTAAGCGGAAAATGCTCATCTTCGAACTCCATCAAGGCATTGACCTAATCAACACATACACCAAGTTTGAACATTCTAGCTCAATTAGGAAGAGAGTTATCGTGCCCCAAAGTATCAACCAATCAAATTGCTTATCTCTGCTTACCCTAAGCGGAAAATGCTCATCTTCGAACTCCATCAAGGCATTGACCTAATAAACACATACACCAAGTTTGAACATTCTAGCTCAATTAAAAGTTATCGTGTCCCAAAGCATCAACCAATCAAATTGCTTATCTCTGCTTACCCTAAGCGGAAAATGCTCATCTTCGAACTCCATCAAGGCATTGACCTAATCAACACATACACCAAGTTTGAACATTCTAGCCCAATTAGGAAGAGAGTTATCGTGTCCCAAAGCATCAACCAATCAAATTGCTTATCTCTGCTTACCCTAAGCAGAAAATGCTCATCTTCGAACTCCATCAAGGCATTGACCTAATAAACACATACACCAATTAGGAAGAGAGTTATTGTGTCCCAAAAAGTGTGACGGACAGACAGACGGACGGACAGACGGACAGACAGACGGACAGACAGACGGACGAACCCATTTTAATAGTCCCCTGCTTTCTTCGAAAGGCGGGGGACAATAAATAAAGGTGTTTCAAGTATGTAGGTAAAAATGATGTCCTATTTAGTGTAAATAGGTATGTTAAATGAGTAAAAGGCCCGGACTAGTAGAGTCTTATGTAAACAATGCAGGCCCCATTGAGTCTGACGGAGCATGTTGTGACGTCACATGTTGAAAGCCGTCATCTTTTACTAGAGATATTAGGAGACTTTTGTAATCCTCAGTGAAATAGATCGGTGGAAGTTACATATATTAACAGCAGACATGTCTTGCCAGTTGAAATCTTTAAAAATACTTGAGACAGTCGTATGTCAATTATTCAAAAGTTTCAGACGTCTCGACAGATTAAATATAAAGTCTACCAAGCAGACGGCAAATAGATAGATGGTACACAAACAATCACAGAAAACAGAGACGAAAACTAAGACAAAAGCAATACAAACACGATATCGGCAGATAAATTTTTTGTCTTAAAAAAAAACATGAAAGTTTATTGAACTTCAAAAGATGTGAAAATATCTGGATAAAAGACAACAATTCTGTCCCAGTGACCTACATTTTGGGGGGTTATCCAATCAGGTAATGATCAGCGATTAGATTTACTGTTCAATTCAATATTTATGTCAATTATTGATCAATTTCTAAAGACAGAATACGCAACAAGACTTAAATAAACGTTCAATTAAAACTAAGACAACAAATCAAAATAAACAGTATTGTAAAAGTGTCAGTCAAACCGCAATGTATGGCGTGTAAAAATAATGCACCCCAGTCGAGTACACGCGGCACGTTGAACAGTAGCAGACAGGACTTATCGATCTGGTCTATGTAACAGCTGGGCGTATGTCAACAGAAACGGCAACATTTTATCAATGAAAAGGACATGTTTAAACCAACGTCTCTGCCAAAAATAACATTTAACAATCAAACCCGTCACCCAATCTACATCTACAATAAACAAACTGGAGTAGCAATAAAAATAAAAAAAAAAAACAATTCTCTCAAATTTCTCCCAACGAAAATTTTATTGCCTTAACTCATCCAGTATACTCATAGTGTTTCATTGTTTTGCGGAAGTTTTCTCAAATAACGTAACTGAAATTTAGTATTTCTTTGCTCAGATTTTGTAAGCTGTATGATGGGAAACGAATAATGATTGTATGGTTTATAGTTTAAACATTGTGTTCCAATCTCGTTGGTTTTCTCCCACTGCTAAAGACCCCTTCGTGTTAGCAAATAATTGAAATAAAATTGAAAAATGTTAGTCCCGAAATGACCAAGTAGTTTGTGCTGAGGTTAAACCCTCTCTCTCTCTCTCTCTCTCTCTTGAACAATTATAGACAAAGATTTTTCATTACTGTTGAGGCACATGCAGTAGCAATGTTCATGTAATGAACTTTGTTTGCAAACAATAGATTCGAAAATATATTTTTTATGTGACATAAAAAAAACAGTTTTGTTGATGAGATCTGCGGGTATTTTCTTACTCATTGTCCACTTCACACCTCTCACTCCAAAATAAACAAACAGCGCATGTCAACACACACATCAACACACGACACAGTCAAATGAAATACAAAACAACACCACAATAACATCTTTAACACAACATAGCCTTTAATTTGTAATGAATGAATCATAGATCTTTGATTTTTTCCGATCGAAAGCCTATTTTTATATAAATTCCTTTAGAAATCTGACATTCAATATCAAAATACGAAGGAGGTTTACATGTGACTTCAAAACTTTTGACGCATTAATTATATCCCAATACAAACAAACGTACCACAACACTTAGAACTGCATCTCACGAGCCATCAAAACACAGTACACCTTTCGCACTTGAATTTACTAAGCTTCTTAAGCTAGCGTTTAAACTTTTAAAATTTGAGGTTTTTGTTTCCTTCCCTTTACACGTCTGTACGTATGTGTGACGGTTGTTTAATTAACCAAAATACAAAAACACAAGTCAAACACTAATTCAAGTTTAAGGGAGGCCAGTGCGAAGAAAAGGTGACCCAAATAGTTGAAGAGGCATAAACATCATGGTAGTCACGTACAGCAGGACTTTACGGGAAGTCTACATTACGTTAATAGAAAACTTAAAAACACTGCGGAAAGGACGTGACTTTAAGTGACGTCACTGTCACTATGTGCTAGTTGGCATTTTTCCAATTCTCCTGTGACATAAAGTTGACAGTTAACTAATTCTGATATGTGACAAGCCAGGGATCACGTCTGCTCCATGACTACAGCAATTAAGGCATTAAGGATCTACTTATTCACTGATGAAAATGGTTACACAAATTTATCACTGTCCCAAATTACTGATTCTTTTTATTTTGTTAAGATAAATTTATTCAACTACAGTGAAGAATCTTGTTCTTACCAGAACCTCCCAGTTTGTATGATCATTGAAAATCCGAGAGAGAAAGAGAGAGAGAGAGAGAGGGGGAGAGAGGGGGAGAGAGAGAGAGGGGAGAGAGGGGGGAGAGAGGGGGGGAGAGAGGGGAGAGTGAAGAATCTTGTTCTTACCAGAACCTCCCAGTTTGTATGATCATTGAAAATCCGAGAGAGAAAGAGAGAGAGAGAGAGAGAGGGAGAGAGAGGGAGAGAGAGAGAGGGGAGAGAGAGAGAGAGAGAGAGAGAGAGATGGGGTTTGACTCAATAACAGACGGTATGATACAGGGTGCAGTACTAACAATTAAGCCATTCAACCCCCTGAAAATCCAAGAACTTGCCTTTTTAGAGTAAAGCAATTTTTTTAAAACCATTTTAAGACTGATATTCATTCAACAGAGCAGAGATTTATTCGATGAAATTCACAATTTATTTTCCCTTCGTCTTCTATCTTTTTTAAAACAAAATGTTATTCCACAAACAGAAGTTATTTTGAATCAAAGCTAACTAATATCTCTTTGTTGTGGTTTGTTTTTAAAGGGCAGAAGAATTTTAAATGTCAAAGATCAATAAATAATGATGAAATAATTACCTTTGAAATGAAATGAAATGAAATGGGGTTTAACGTCCTACTGTTCTGCTCCTATACTGGGCTAATGAAGACGGGCATACGCCATACAGTGTGCTATGAGGGAAATTTTGCCCGGGCAGCGGCACTATCACCTACTCTTGTATCGAATTTCAACTGCCAAGGGATCTTTTACGTGCATTCCAATGTTTACACGGGACCTCGGTTTTTTGTCTCATCCGAAGGACTAGACAGCTGTCCTTGTCAGGCCCTCCGTCCTGCATCACTGACAAGGGCAAATCATGTCGGAAAAAATTACCTTTGAACTTGCGGAATAATTCCCATTTGCTTTGAACATCAAACCAAGACGAATATGAATTTCATTGGCTCTCTTGAAACCTGGATCAACGTAGAGAACCTGCTGAAAACTTTTAATAGCCCTGAAAATAGATAGAAATAAACATTTAAAATAGCAATACACATTTAAACATACATTATACAAGAGCAAAATCTGTCTATTTCAAGTCTTTTTTTAGGCCTGAAATGTTATATAAACTATTAAATAGACATTTATTAACATAAAAAGACCTTGATCAACTCTCGATGCCATCTTATGCGTCAGATTTTCTCTGGATTTAAATCCGATTTGCTGCTTAACGCTCATTGATGATTTAATCCAAAAATGAATAATTGATACTATGTTTTCTATTATACTGACTTTAGAAATGAAGATCGAAGCTAGGCCTAAAATTCAATCACTAATATCTCAGTTCAGAGTGGATCAATTTGATTGAAATTTTCAGAAGCATAGTCCCTTTACATGATCTAGTTTTTAATTATTATAGTGAGAACTGTCAGCTCTTTATCTAATCTAGGTTTATATGAATATTTCTCTCACTTTTTTTCAAACTCGTCATTGGAAATTACAAATGTTTGAAATTATCAGTGTCTTTTCCAAGCAGTCAGTCATTGATACATCTTCTAAAATCTAACAGCCTGTTTAACCAAGATTATCAATGTCATTTCAAAATCATGCGAATATCATTTGTAAACAAGTTATTTGAGACGAAAAAGGAGTTTTTATTATTACTTTTAAATGGATTCATAAACTGTAAAATATAAGGCCTCCCCAACTTGTAGTCATCGACTGTTGAATGGTTGTCTCCTGGATATTTTTCCTAACTCACTTAACTGTACCGGAAGTTTAAAACTGTAAACTATAGTCTCATGTTGGTTTAATTTTAGGGGGGTACATTTATTAAATTTTGAAGAAAAAAAACAACCCAAAACATCCATCAAAAGAAGCCATTCATAATAGACGTACGAGACATATTTTAATAGCTTAAATTATCATATGACTGACATTTTTATTATATAATGTCAGTTATTTAGGTGTTTCATTGCTTTATTACAGACTGAGTTTTACTGACACCATTTAGAGGCATTTAGTAACTGGATAGAGCAACATACTTACGGAAGAACAATTACTGATTTATTTGCTTGAAAACGTTGAGAAAATACTCTTCGAAACGTGGTCTAAATGAATCAGTAATTGTTCTTCCATATTTAAAAATATGATTGTTTTCAACACAATATCCAATTCAGCCTAGAATTAATTTATGTCAATCAGATTAAAATACAGATATATATTTCATTTCGTTTTTTTATACTTTCGATGGCCTCTACTACATGAAGATCCGACAGGTTGTAGTGGATGGTCATGTCGGGGATCATACAAGCGGCTTTTGACCCTATGACGTCAGACATTGATTAGTTAATCAGCATTGACGTTTCTAAGGGTTTACCCACAGTTCCGTGCAAAGAACACCAAGAACTTGCCGTAACAGACCGTTTCATTGGCTAATTCCTCACATCAACTAGAACGCCAGTAATATTAACAACTCTTTCAGGTCCTAGTGTTGTAAAGATAGTAAATGGCCCCGAATTCTCAGATTTAAGTTAAGAATTTACTCAAAATTGTTCGTCTTATTTTATCTAAGTATAACCCTTTATAAAACTTTTGTTGTTCTAATGTATCAAATACATCACTAAGAAACTATGTGTAAAATTTTGTGTTTCTAGATCAAAGATATTTCTCATGAAAAGTGATTGAAAGTTGAGTAAATTCTGAACTTAAATCTGAGAAAACTTGGTGAATTCGGGGTCTGATGTCTATTACATGTATCTCACTTTGTTATTGGTCAATTAATGACATTATTCTAATAATAAATGTTATTTCATATTATTACTCTCTTGAGCTGTGACATATTCAGGTTTAAATACACGTAAATACATAAATAAAATTCAGAAACCATTATTCTATTTTATTAGTTACAGTAGGGAATGATTTATCTCTGTGGCATTGTCCTTCAATACACATGTAACAGATACATGTATTCCTCTCAAAATAGATTATATGTTACTATATATAGTAATCAACCTATATATATATATATATAATTATTTATATGTAAAGCATGTAGGCGAACAAGGACTGATAGATAGAGTTTAGACAAATGGGAGAGTTGAAACTAGATTTGATTATTGATCCATAAACTTCAGCCATCTGCTCTTTTATAGCAGTAGCGAATATAATAAAATCTATAATAATATCGTAACGCGGCTGCCATGTAATCAGCATTTCAACCAGTCACGGCATTCCAACACGTTTCTGGCAAACCATTGGCAGGAATCTTGTGACACAAATTTGTCGTCAATGGCATTTTTCTTCAGCAACGTGACATATACGAACTAGAACTGACGTCAGTAGACAAATATATTTTTTTCATCTACTTTCAATTCTATCGTAAAATTTCACGGCTTACCTTATAAGGTAAAATTTTAATCCACTATTTACAGAAATATTGAGTTTGAATTGTTTAACTTAGAAATATGCTAAATATTAAGACAATAATAGTTTATATTGTACTAATGATTAGAATTCTAAAATCAATTTCTATTCAGATAAGATATTCACTGCTTCATTATATATATATATTATACATTATATATACATTATGCAAGATCTAAATCTGCCTATTGCACGTCTTTCTTTAGGCCTGGATTGTTGTCTGAATTATTAATTTGACATTAATTAACTTATCCAGACCATAATCATCTCTCGATGTCATCGCTAACCTGTCATCGCCAACCTGCGATATTTACTGGATTAGCATCCGATCAGCAGCTCAACTCTCATTGATGATTAAATCAAATAATGGATAATCGAGACTTATGGTTTTTTTCGTACCGACTTTAGTAATGATGATCAAGGCTTAAAAATTGATCGCTAATATCTTGGTTCAGATTGGAGCAATTTGACTGAAATTTTGTGCATATTCTCTTTACATTATCTAGTTTTTAACTATTATAAAGAGAAATGTCAGCTCTTTATCTAATCTCCAATAATGTAACTTTAAGTTGAACATACAAGTTATTGAAATAATTAAATCTTTACTAAATAATTTTATTTCCAGATGCCATTTCCAGGAATATTATCAGGTTAATCTATACTAATATTTGTGATAGTCGTTTGTCTGTTTGTCTCTCTGTTCGGGGCTGGCGGCTACACTAGGTCTGCCCTGAGTCTAAAATTTGTGGTATAGGGGTAGCTCGGACCAGGGAGTAACATAGGCCAGGTGGCGTTAGTCTACCACTTCCGGTTTCAGGGTTATGACCCCCGAGCGAAGCCAGGCATTCTTCTAGTCACTAATAATTGTAATAATTAAATCTTGACTATTGAGACGTAATTCTCCCTGCTATCAATCACCATTTATAATAATATATCTCACTCACAGACATCATTATCATATTGTTTATACATTGTATCAATATTTTGGTGAAATTGGAGTAACATTTAAACCTCTGTAAACAGTCCAGTTTAAGATATTTTCTACACAATTAGAGTGACCAACGAGACAAAACCAAATTACGACTTAATCTGTATGAATGTGGGTTGAATGGCTGAATGGTTAGCGCGTGCGCTGTGTCATAAGGTCTGTCATTGAGGCAACTGGCATGGTTTTGATTCCCTGGTTGTACATGACGAGGAGTAGGGTCGGATGTCCAACCTCGTGGCTTTTCCCTGGGACGTCCGGTTTCCTCCCACTGCTAAAGGCCCCTACACGCACGAGAATTATTGAAATATAATTGAACCACGTGTTAGTCCCGAAATGATCTATTTTGTGTCGAAAGGACGTTAAACCAATTTCTCTCTCTTTTTCGTTAGTGTCCTGAGTTTATGGGTATAATTTATCCACACAATTAGAGAGATCAACAAGACAAAACCAAATTCCGACTTAATCTGTGTGAAATGACTTGACCCGACCTACATAATTAGTTCTTATCATTGACGCTGTATACAAACATTAACTTTTTAAAATCCAGACAAAGACAATCAATTTTAAATGAATGACACCAGGACCACATCAATACAGTGTGGAGCACATGACTCATGATAGGTAAAACACAAAAAAACATTTTTTAAAATTACATTTAGATAAATATTTTACAATTTATCATGTTGGCAAAAACTGACTATGTATGTCCAAGATATGTATCGCCCAAACTTTTTTTTGTTAAGCAATTTATTATAGGTAGGCAAAAATTGATCCGACTTGTTCCCATTTTTATTTTTTTAAATATATTATTTAATATTTTCAATAATAATCAATAATTTCAGACGAGTAATTTATCATAAATTTCAAACAGTGAATCACCTTTCTCAATAAATCAACATTTTTGAAATATTTAGAAGACTACATGTCTACTTGTCAAGGTTAAATGTAACAAATTCTATTCTCATGATGAGTGACCTACAAATATTGACAAGGTTTTCTAATTTATCTTTTTTTTAAAGTTTTTAAGTACATGTACAATGTACCTGAGAAACTTTTTTTTAAAATTTATTATTTTTTTTTATTTTTTGTTAGACAAGGGATTGAGTGTGATTAATATAGTAATTTTCACACAATAAATAAAACATGCCATCGCGTGGCTTCAGTTCAGGACTTAGGGAGAGAGAGAGAAATGGGGTCTAATGTCCACTCGACACAAACTAGGTCATTTCGGGATTAACATGTGGTTCAATTTTTATTTCAATAATTCACTTGCGCATAGGGGTCTTTGGCAGTGGGAGGAAACCCTTGTACAACCGGGGAATCGAAACCATGCCAGTTGACTCAATGACAGACCTTATGATACAGTGCACGTGCTAACCATTCGGCTACCCAAGTGATGAAATTCTGACCAACGTGAAATATCTCTTCCATTATTCACAACATCCTTGATGTTAACATTTACTATTGGTTACCAACTTTATTACGTAATATACATGTATTAAATATCAATCAAAAAGTTATCACAATCTCGTCATTCAATCTATTTCTGTCCACATAATTTGTCAATATCTATTTTAATCAACGAGGAAACAACCACAATG